TTAACATTTTTTTATACAACGCTTTGTTTTCGAGATATTCAGGTGTTCCGGTATATAATATTCACCCTGTATATTTGATATCAGGAGACAGAAGAGAAGAAAACAAAAAGACATAAGATCAATTACAAAGTATGTTTTATTTTTTATATAATCACAGTTTTATATCACAGTTTTATATAATCACAGATGGAGACAAATATTTATTTTTAATTTTTTCCAGAAAGATGTTATTTAATCCATTGAATATTATACTCTTACTGTATGCAACATTCTCTGCTTTGAACTTTCCACAAAGTCCGATAACTTCGGAGGAAATGGAAGTGAAGAAGAAAGTTGAATGTATATTTACCCAGATAGCACATGGACATCTTATGAACGTCCAGTGGACTTTCAAGTTTGAATATTGGGACTCCCATAAGACGTCCGAATAAAGCCCAACAGACGTCCGATGAACGTTCTGTGACGCTATTCGCAAGGGTTATTCGTGAGCGACGGCGAACAGTCGCCTGTTCGCCGCGTCGGCAAATTGCAGTCGGCCCCGGATTACATCGCAACGCAAAAACGAGAAATTAGGCGCCAGGTGCGGAAAAGGCCGCACCATTTTGATACGTGCGAAACGTGATGGCCACCAAAAATTCGCGTGATCCGGGAACCGTTGGGACTGGCAGCTCCGCGTTGTTTAAGTCGGAGACGGGACGGGTTCAAGAGGTGAGAAGACGACACAAATCTTTATCGGTATTAATAATTTATTTGGCGGGACTCTCGCACGCCCTGATAATATTCGCGAGACGCTTGCTACAAAAATCCGCGAAATTTCACAGTACTTTGAATGCGACAAATAAGGCCCGAGGACAATCTCCTCGGGCGAGCCTCTTTACGCGGCCGCTCTGCGGACGGGACAATGGTACGAAAAAACGATAGCGACGAACGAGACAAAAATACGGAAACCCCAGAGCAGATGGTCTTACAGAAGTCGGCGGCTTGCCCTCGCTGGCGTCGGCGGTGGCGATCCTCTGGATTGCTAGGCTCTACCTCTCGCTCTTCCGCTCTTTTCTTCGGGGCGCGTTCTTCGCTCTCTCTCTCTC